GCTTTACAATATATTCTGTGAAGTGCTTTGAGACGTCTCAACTGAGTGATAAGATCCTATATCAAATGCAAGGATTATTATTATTTTTATTATCATAATTATTATTTGAGGTTAGTTGTTTACCGTTGTCTGGAGTAAAATGCACAGCATTCTAACACCATTGATTTGCATTTACAGCAACGTGGAATATAAAGCCTTTAATCAAAGACGTGGAATTTTGAATCGCACCAAAGATGGAAAATATTACATGCGAGGAGCCCCCTTGTGCTTAATCTAGGAAATGTGGCTGTGGCATCTCAACAGAAAGCACTGATGCGAGGCTTGGGGTTCATTTTCCAAACGCGGCAGAATCTCATTAAATGAAACACAGCATCAATTAACTGTGCCTGGTGAGTGATGCTGCACGTTATATAAGTCCAGTGTACGAATGGATCAGCTAAATGGAAATCACAGCGTCACAGCTGCTGCTTTTCAAATTGAGCTTCGTTTCAGGCTGTTTTGCAACCAGTGAAGTTGTGGTGAAGTTCTTTCCTCCCCTCCTCCCCCGCAGCCTTTCCCTTCCCTTCCCTACTCTCTCACCACTTCCCCTCCCATAGCCGTTTCAAGAGGACACAAATAGATCCAGAAGATTGCGTTAACTCCACAGCAATAAAGTTGGACGGGAATTTTTATTCACGTATTTTCGAAAACTCAATTTACGACTCCTACTTTGCTGTCGCTATTATTCTTCCAAGGGTCTTCCACATCACAAAAGCTCTGTTTATGTTAAACGTTTCCGCGAGAATTTCGGATTCTTCAGTGGTCTGTCTTAGAAGAGGAGACGTCCAATAAATATTTAGAACTACTTGACAGTATTGACCTCGTCAACATAATTCAACCCACGCTTTTTGGAACATAAGACTATTTTCCTACATTTGCAGCTTGGCTCAGTTGTCAATATTTTCACCTCTGGGTTACATTCTATTTACTGTTTAAATCAGTTGGGTTGCATGCCTGTAACTCATTGGCAGATATCAATCACAAACAAATATCCTGTTTGTACAGTAATCTTGGCATTGCCCTGGCAGGGTGGGGGAAGAGTGATTACTAAGTAAGCGATCAAAGATTTCACTTAATTTCAGTTAAGAAACAATTTCATATTTGATAAGCATCTGCGTTCCCTACAGTTTTTTCCAGTGACTGACTTTTCTTGTCAGGGCAATTAATCAAAAGTCATGTATTCCTTTTGCAGATGCCATAATCACTCTCGCTTTCCAATTAAATAAACTTGAATTTTGGAGATTGCTTCGTGTTATTTGATTGCAGTATTATCTATCGTACAACGTGCTTCTAAAATCTCTTTACCATCATGTTTTACACAATCTTTAATCTTTCATTTTAAAAGAATTTCTGGATTCGTTTCAGCTTTGTAATCTATATTTATCAAAAATTACAGCGTAGAATGAGGCCTTTGGCCCATCAAGTCTTCACTAGCTCTCCAAACAAGCTGTTCATTTAATCCCACTGATTTACCATATCTCCATACTCCTTCAAACCTCTAACCTTCATGTATCAATCTACTTTCCTCTTGAAATCCACATTGAACTCTACCATCTTACATTGCAGGGTGTTCCATGTCCCACAACTCTCTGCTTAAAATATTCACCTAAGGATTCCTTTCATTCTTTTTGACTATCATATCCACGTCCTCCAGTCATTGCTTCCTCTAACAGATCTCATCCTTGCGCTTGTATTCACGATTGGGCTAAAATTCCAACTGGGATTACAGTTTTGGCATTGTCAGCAGCTAACGGGATTTCCCTCATTCCAATTGGCAAGCGTGATGCCAACTGGTATGTCGTCCCACTGATCTCTTTCGCGAGTTACATGATTTAAGAACAATGCTCGTTTTGTTTCAGACATGACGTGATTTGAGATGGTTCTAAATGGCTGTGCTTGTAAACCCTCGCACACTCTGCGTTTCACTTCTCAGGAGCTTTACAGAACCCCCAAGGCCAATGGTGAAGCAGATCACAAAAGCTGGACAGAGCAGCGGCGGAACTAAAATGAATCAGGTTGTAGTAAATGGCTGACGTTGAGATTTAAAAGGCTATGTAACGCGAGAGGGAGGGGAGCTGAACTCTCGCACTGGGAAAGAATGAGACACACGAGGCAATGGCAAAATGAAGCTTGATTTCACCATAACTAGAATGGATAAAGGAAGGAGAAGAGTGCGTACCGCACTGTGATATATTTAGAACTTGGAAAGAAAAAAATGGGGAATGTTTGTTCGGTCAGTGATCACAGTAGTGTTGGTAAGATAGATACACAGATTGCAGAATTAATCATTCAGTTAAATTGGTCATTCACTTCTTGGATTTTCTGTGGGACATTGATGTGTGCAAACTAGCTGGAGTGTTCACCCTCGAATGCCATCTTTCCTCTGCAAAGCACTTTGAGACATTTCAACATGATAAAGCTCTTTATCACAAGCACAGATTATATGCAATTGACAACTCCATCAATAAAGTCGTATTGGACCAATATAGAATGGATCAACCCTTGGTCTTGCAGTTACAGGTTACAGTCAGGCCAGCAGGTAGGAAAGCGTCGGCTGGAAAAGCATGAGGACAGGGTTGGGTTTGGATATTATGACCTCAATGTCCAAAGTAAGCTTGGAGAAATGTGATTTGGATGTGTTAGAGAAGCTATCGCTAGCTTGTCTAGGAATAATTCACTATGAGTCAGTGACTTTGGGGGAAATAAATGGAAGTTAGGAGAATGTAAATTAGATATCAGAGGAAAAAAATTGCTCAATGAGATATAAATATTTGCATTCAACAGCCAAGTGAAGTAATAGAGGTAATCATATTGACTTATTCAAAAGTAAAGCTAGGTGCCATAGTGAGAGTTATTGCCAAAAGGATAATCTTTGATGAGTTGAATGACCTCTGAATGTGTTTGTAGATTCTCAGTTTGCTAGGAATCGACATACAATATTTCTGGGAACATTCAAATATCATTGAAATATTACAGTGCGTCATGTAATAAAGATTATACTTCTCTTTAGGGTAATGAAGGTGTCTAAATTATGTTATTTTGATTGGAGGTTGGGAAATTGGGTCATACTTCACTATCTGAAAGCACTTGATGTTCTGTGAGATGCTTCAGCAATGTGCAGTGTTCTGTGAATCTGCCTGAGCAGCAGCAATCTTCTGTGGTGGTGACAACAAAGAAACCAGTGGTTTAAAGAGAGGATCAAAATGTGGGAATACTCAATGGATGTCAGGGGATTACATGCAGAAAGTCTGGATCTTTGTTCAGATGACATAAGTCGATTCCATGATTCTATCTCGACTGCTTGCTTGGGCAGCAGTCTTGTGATACATTGTAGAAGAGAGGTTTGGTAGAGGAAAGATCTCAATTGTCCTGAATTGTATTCCTAATGTCTTCCCATTACAGCAACAAACTGTGTCTTAAATGTGGCTACTGTCCTGTCCTCTACCTCCCTTCCTGACTCAGTAACTCATCACACCTTAATAGAGGGTAGGCAGTATGTCTTAACTTGGAACCCGTGTCTTGTCACGCCATGTCTGAAAGCATGGTTCTGGGTTGACTTTCTCTAAAGATCGATCTGCCCCACTTCCCTTTGGAATCCTACGAAGCTCTGGCTTATCTAATCGTTACTCATGGTTCATCTCATTAACATTGAGGATCTGCCTCCTTGTGTTGATCTACACTGCATCCAGGCCGGGCAGCCCACATCTTGACTTCACACCCAAACTGCACTCATGCTCCATGGATGGTCAGCCCAGCGAGCACTGTACAGTTCTAGCATTGCACTATAGAGGATCTAAGCTCAACTGGTTTGGCAGTACAGCCCTCCATTCTCGTCAATATCATTACAGAACCTGATAACACAGGTTAACCCCAGTATTAATATTGCACGTCATTTGATTTCAATCCATATATTTTTTTCTTGATTTTTTCTTGACGTGGTATAAATCAAGAGATAGAGATAGAGATATTCAATCAAGCAAATGTATTTTGTTGGCTGGCCGAAACCGTTAATCAATAATCGTGGTAGTTCTGGCCAAACTGTGGCTGACAATGATAATGTTGTGAGGGAAACATAAACTTGAATTTAGGGAAAACAATTCAATTCTACAACAACAACTTGCATTTATATAGCGCCCTTCATGCTGTGTAGCACAATTCTACGGCAATGATGAATGATCTAAAGCACCTACCTGCTAAACACTGAAGTAAAGTTACCAACAAACTAGTCTGTTGCACAGTGAGGGAACAATTTAACCGGTTCGGTCGTTGCTCCTACCAGAGGCGGGTCAGCTTCTGTAAGAAGCCACTTTATGATTTAATAAATGTTCAGTTATACAAAACAAAATTAATAAAAAGCACCTGCATTGAAGGAGACTCTGGAAATTTTTCCACAAAAACGTTTCCTCTCGCAGTCAGTTTAATCGATCGTGTACTCATTCAATCACATTTTTAAAAAAATTCCATTTAAAAGGCACAATTTAGGGTGAGCATTTCAGCTTATCGATTTCTACGGGTACAATAAAGTAATAATAACAATAACCCTTGCACTTGATATAATGGCTACAATGGCTTTCACATCAGGAGAAGGTCTCAAAGCTGTTCACAGGATTTTACTGTAAAGTAATATGACTGCATGTTGTAAGGTGAAGGTGACAGCCAATTTGCACGCAGCAATGTCCCATAAACAGCAATTAACGTCCATCTGACCAGACAGAAGGGTTTCGGTTTAATATCTCCTTTGAAGGACGACACATCCAACAAAAGCATCTGCCTAGACTGTGAATGCAAAGTCGGAAGTGATAATGCTGCCAACTGAGCCAGGCGCCATAGTAAAACCCAGCACTCAATTCACAAAATGAAAGGGAGAGTATTCATTTTTATAACAATTCATAGCTGGCAGACAATTCAAACCCACGTTGTTTTTGTGTGCGAACATAAAAGCTCACCTTTGGCTGAAATTAAAATGAAGTTATTCAAATGAATTGAAAAAAAAAATTCAACTTTCATCGCTGTTTATTGTTCCATAAACGCTTTGTTTTCTTTAATGTATTCGTACATTCTTTGCAAAAAGGAAAAAGAAAACATGAAAAGGTTTCAAGGACTTAACATTATGATTTAAATTCAAGGCACGTACATGATACACCAAAGCGGTTCAATATTACGAACTTTGGTTCCTTTGCACTATGGAAAACTTTGGAACTAAAAGTAAGTCAAACCAAATATTTTTTTTTACATCGTCATTTGCACAAACGTACTGACGTTAGCTTTACAAAAGTAGTGCTCGGTTTTGTTACATCCGTCCTTTAAAGCAGCCCTAGGCATTAAAAAATGAATCTGGGTTTTGTTCTGGAAAGTCCTGTTCGACTTGGATTTAATGTATGTTTACCATTTGTTTCCAAAATGAACTCAGATTCAGAGCATACGCCAAGTGGAGCGTACAGCAAAGTGAGTAATGAGCATCTGAGTAAGGTCTATAACTGTGTGGATTAATTGAATATAATCAATCGAACTTCCGATGGGCAGAACGTGAAAAATTTTGTTAACCCTCTATTGATAAACTCATTACGGCGAGAGGTGGAAATGCTGTACATGAATATAACAGTGTCATTTAGATGCTCTAAATACCAACGCTGCTGTTTCTCTTAATGTCGGCACTGAAATGTCTTTTTATCCACGGATGCGAAAGATGCAGAGCTGTCTCTTGTCTCGGTTAAGGACAGATAATCAAAGTGGCAGATGGCCAAAGAAATAGAGCGCGGGCACTCTGCCTTCTAGAATGGGGTTGTGCTTGCAGTTTCCTCGCTTGATAACTTCTCAATCTCAGCCTTGCCATGGCAGGCCTGAGCTCTCCCCTTCAGGGAAGGTCTGACAGACCTAGTTAGGAAGCCTAGGAGAGTATCAGCAGAGGCTTGGGATAGAACCACTCGCTTTCCCGGCTCTTGAATGGAGAGAGGGTTGTTGGGTGGGGCTGAGGAGGGTGGGCGATGGTGGGGTGGGGGGGTGGAGAGGCAATAACGAGGCAAGAGGAGAAAAATAACAACTACATTTACGCTTCAACAAAAAGAAAGTCTCCCAGCTAAAGGAATTCATCCGAAACAAGCTGAGAATGACTCGTTTCAGGAGCGACACAGATTTCTGTGAAACGTCCTGGACGCACGAGGCTGCTGTTCTTACGAAGAACCTAACACTGCTGAACCAACATTGGGTGAATCGCTTCAAATAATCCGCAGCATTTTTTTTTGATCGCGACAATAATTGCTCGGCCCAGCTGCAGCCCCTGTGTGTCTGCGTCGGTGAAAAGCCGCAGATGGGTTAAGGTTTGAAGGCTTTTGAAGGCTTTAGCTGACGTGACCTGACTTTACCTGTGCAAACCCCCTCCCCTGTTGGATTCTAATCACTTAACACGATGGCTATCTACCAGCTGGCCTCATGTACAGTGACAGGTACAGACCTCAGCAGCAAAGCAACACCATAATTCTTCACAGTTGTCACGTACAGTATTAGGTTGTTAGCTTAGGGTCAACGGGCCGTTGATATAAATGTGCTTGATTTCAGAGCTTTCGTGACAAACTTTCAGGAACTGATCGCCAATCATTGCCTCGGACCCCAACTCACAATATTTTTCTCCCCCACGACACACGACAAAGAACAAGCCAGGCTGTCAACTAAGACTGCAACAAAAAGACCTTCCCCCTCACCCCAACACACGCGCGCGCACACACACACAGGCTCAGCCGGTCTGAACGAGAAGTAAAAAGCACCAATGGGCTCTCGAAATGTGTAACTATCGACTGCTGCAGCGTTTGAACACTAAAACCAATTGATCACATCGCTGGGTGGGGAAATCTAATCATCAGTATTGAACAAGGGAGATGGGGCCACGCTTGATTTTTAAGGAGAGCCAATTCAGCTCGTGTGTAACACACAGCTCATCGAGTGCACCCGTCAGTCAATCAAAGTGTCAGATCAACTGTCCATCCACCCATTGGTCTTCAGAAGGAAATGCCGGAACATTGAGTATATGCTTTAAATCGCAGACATGAAACCCATCATTATTAAATGCACCATACAGTAAAAACACCTCATTCATCAAGGCAAGTTTTGATTGTACAGCAACAACTATACAGCTTACGTAATCATAATTTCTCTTTCAAAACCACTTGGACCGCATTACAAAATTGGTGCTACGTATTTTGTAATAGAAAAGATAGTTTTTTTTGTTTGTTTGTTTTTACACTGTATAAATTACACAGTAGGCAAACGCAATCTGTCCGGACAATATTTAACAAACAGTTTCTCGAAAGTTCCACGTCAGGAAGCAGTCATGTATGGCATTGCTCCATATCGGGAACCCCACTAGTACAGTATCTGCTGTTGCTTCCAGTGTGACAGTCTGTATAGCTAATCGCTCCATTGGGAGAAGGGTATATGGACTGCAACCTAAAATCCTCCTTGAGCATCTGTTCGTTATTTAACGAGACTATGTGAAAACTGGTCTCAGTCATTTCCAGAATGGTGTTGTCTTTTTTTGTCCCAGCCTCGCAGTAATCGTCTTTCCTGCGCCCTCGGTTGTACTTCCACGCATTCGAATTGTATTTCCCTTTTTTGTGCATGTGCCAGCAAAAGACACTGAGCAGCCCCACGAGCACCACGATGACAGCACCGCCTATCAGCCCCGCCAACAGCAGAGGAGAGCTGGGGTTGTGCTGAGTTGCTTGCTCTGGGCTGGAAGCCATGTTTGTGTTCAGAGACGAGGATTTTGTGGCAGCTTCCGAGCAAACTGTATCATCCTCTGGGTGAAAGTTATTCGAAGCGTCGAGCAGAGCCAAGCAAATCCTGTAGGTAGATTTGGGCTCCAAATTCACCAAGCTCAGCTGCTCCCTATCCGCGCTCACTATCCTTTCGTGCACCTTGCCACCTCTTAAGGCATGGCCCAGTTTCACCCACGTGACTTTGTATTTCGCCACGGAAAATATGGTCAGCCAGCTGATTTTAATGCAAGTGTCATTCACGAACTGGACAGTGAGCTGCAGGTGGCTGCTTGGAATATTGTCCACGGGTTCCTGGTCTTTGACAGGAACGAGCGACGTGGATCTGGGAGCAACGGGAAGAATGGAAGCGTTGAGCGTGTTGGCGTCGGGAATGAAACTCGTCGGAATCACAGTGGAAACAACCGCAGGTGGAGGTGTAACTTGAGGGACAGCGGTGGGGGAATGTGGACACAATAACAGGTTGATATTCAGGTCCCTAATAGCCATCCCTCTGACCTTCTCAGGTCCATGACACATCAACCCGCGCACGTTTAGAGAAGGCGGAAGCGATTGCAGCCACCTGGTCACCCATTTCATGTTGCAGTCACAATGCCAGGGATTATTCCTCAATAGGATCTGCTTTAACTCGCTCATCCCATCAAACACCCCCTGTGTCAGCGTGCGGAGCTGGTTGTTGGAAAGGTCCAACCTCTGGAGGCGACGGAGGTGCGAAAAGGCGGTGATGGGAATCTGGCTGATCTGGTTCTCTTGCAAGCTCAGTTTCACCAGGTAGTTCCCGGGGAGGTTGGGCGGGGGGGTGGTGAGGGAATTCCTCACCATGGAGAACTCAGTCAGTTTCACCAGATGCTCCAAGGCTCCTTTGGCGATGCCTTTGTTGGTTAAGAGATTCCCGTCCAAAACCAGACGCTCGAGAAAATCCAGGTCCTTGAAGACCACCTCGGACACGAGGGAGATACGGTTCTCGTCGAGCCTCAGCTCCTGGAGCCCGAACGGTAGCCCGACCGGCACGCTGCTCAGGTGGTTCCTGGACAGGAACAAGAGCTTGAGGTTGGTTGCTTCGCGGAAGGCTCCGTCCTCGATCCCGACGGTGGAAATGGAGTTGTCGTCCAGGTGCAACTTCTCCAGTCTCTGCAGGTGGGAGAGGGCTTCCTTGGAGATGGTCTGGATGTTGTTCTCCTGCAGGTGAAGCTCCCTCATGTTCATCGGGAGGTTGACGGGGAACTCCTCCAGCTTGTTGCCGTACAGGTAGACGGTGTGAATGGAGCGCACGCCCTTCAGGTCAGCAGGGAACCCGGCGTTGTTGATGTTGTTGTTTTGGAGGTAGAGTACGGTGGCTCCCTCTGGGACCCCGCTGGGCACCGAGGTCAAAGCCCGGTCGTTGCAGTAGACGAAACTTTTATCGCAGCGGCACTCTGGAGGGCAGATCTCTGCCCCTGTTATCCCCGCGCACAGTCCCAAAGCCACCGCCATCCATAGAATGAGGAGAGTAATCCAGTCTCGGACACAGATTCTGGTCTGTGAAATTCCCATCACTCTTGCAATTGGAATCTCTAGAATTGTCAAAACACCAACAGTTAGAAAGTCCACAACGCCAGTATTACTCTCAGCTCCCTTCCCCTCCAACCCCCCCACCCACCCACCCACCACCAACAAAAAAAAGCTTAAGACAGGAGCCTTATACGTGTACAACATGTGTGTGTGTATGTGTCATTTTTTTTATGTCTTAGCAATGGAAGCAGAGATTTGTTAACTAGATTTGTTCCCTGCAGTTCGGCCATCGATACGGAGATGCTCGAAGATAACGGAACACCATCACACCACTGCTTTAGTATAATGTGTGATCGGCAATTTCAAATCATATACAACACACACGCGCACACACATACATACATACATACATACATACATACATACATATATATATACATACATACACACACAAGTACATACATACACACACAAGTACATACATACACACACACCAAGTACATACATACATACACACAAGTACATACATACATATACATACATACACATACGTACACACACATAGAACATCTAACTGTTTTATGAGACTGGATTGACTTAGTGTCAGCCCGCTCGCTGCCTTGAGTCAGAAAAGGTGTGATCTTAGCTTGACTTGTGCATCTCAGAATCCTGTTCCATTAAACACGCACCACACACACACCACGAAATAAATGAGGAGTTCATCCGGATTCACAACCCTCTGAGCTCTATTCCTTTTCCAAACAAGAGCTGCCTCTACTGGAGAAATCTATAGATTGCCAGTGTGCCATTGACTAACTGCCCTGCAGCTTTTACTCCAGTTAACACAAGCAGGCAATATGTGTGCATAGGCAATATGTGTGTATAGGCAATATGTGTGTATAGGCAATATGTGTGTATAGGCAATATGTGTGTAGGCAATATGTGTGCAAAGGCAATATGTGTGTATAGGCAATATGTGTGTATAGGCAATATGTGTGTATAGGCAATATGTGTGTATAGGCAATATGTGTGCATAGGCAATATGTGTGTATAGGCAATATGTGTGTATAGGCAATATGTGTGTAGGCAATATGTGTGCAAAGGCAATATGTGTGTATAGGCAATATGTGTGCATAGGCAATATGTGTGTATAGGCAATATGTGTGTGTATATATATATATATATTTAAAAGCAGAGCAAAAAAATAAAATCCACTAAAGTCGCTTCCCCAAGACTCAAACCACTGGTGATTGACTGTATTATCCAAACCAAAATATGAAACATATTTGATTTCAAATATAAAGCAATTTTTTTTAAAGGGGTGGGGGAAACGCAGATGAATCCCCCCCCCCCCCCTCCCCTCCCTCCCTCCCTCCCCCCACTCCCCAATTAAACCAATCAATAAAAAAAACTCAGATTAAAAAAAAAATCAGTGAGAAAGAAATGGGGAAAAAACAGGATTGAAACTTGCCTTTGTATTGCTTCCGATGATGGTTTGGGGTCTCACATCCTCGGGGTTAGTTCCTGATATCCTCTCTTTCTGTTTCTCTTTCTTTTTCTCCTTCTGTCTCTCTCTCTCTCTCTGTGTGTCTCTCTCTGTCTCTCAGTCCCAGGAGTTGTGGAAGCTGATGTCCTCCTCACTTGCTCTCCACTCACTGCCTTCTGCTGCTGTCATCTCTCTGCTCAGCCCAGCGGAGGGCTCTGTCTCCCCAATTTGACCATTGTTTCTTCTCTCTTTTGCTTCTTCTGGGTC